TGCCTTTTGTATTATTATGACAGTCCAATTGGAAGTAATGTAATTGCATATGCTTTTGTGTGTCATTTAGTTCCCTTTCACCCCCTACCCCACAAAAAGGATTTTAGCATTAATTGCTGGGTTTTGAATTTTTGATGTCGCAATCTCCTAAGATTTGTAAACAACTGGTATTTCCTCGCTTTTGAATCACTTCTTTCAGGTAAGCTATACCTCTTCAAAGAAAATTTTGATAATGGTAACTTCCTGATTTTGGGCACACCCAATGTATGAAAGGTTAATAGTATTGCCCTTACCTTTTCCGCGCGAATCATATTTGACTATTTGATAAATGTAGCATTTTCACTTAGTTTAACCTGGCATGTCTACCGAACCTTCTATTGTAAAATCGACACTTAGAAAGAGCAGAGAGCCAGAGATGGAAGTAGGCACTCCTGCCTAGTTATTGATGTACTACCCCTTATTCAACCTAGAATTTTTCTTGCATATAGCATTCTGCATAGCTGAAAGCAATAAGAAAGATAACACTGAGTAGCTGAGAGTTTGGTTGACTCAAGATACAGATTTAACATCTTTTTTGTGGTTAAGTCAGCTCACAATTTGTGGTACTTAAGCTACAGTATTGAAATCGAGTTTTATGTCAACCTATTTTAACATTTGAACAAAACATTTTAGTACCTCACCAAGATGTTGTATTCAGCGAAATATCTCTCCCCACTCCCCCCCCCCCCCCAAAAAAAAAAAAAAAAAAACGGTTTGGCTTTTGCAATGATAATTGTCTGAAAACAACACCCAATTTGGGTTTGGCTTTTGCAATGATAATTGTCTGAAAAACAAGCTCTGGATTTGCTTATTTGTTTTATAACAATGAACACTCTTTACTCTGTTATATTGAAGTACTTTAAAAATAGGTTGGATCTGTTTATGGTGATTTGGTGGATGTTGGGTGTCATTTCCACTCGACACTATTGTGTATTTATACTTTGTGGAAGAGTTGGGGGTTTGTGGATGGTGAATTTTCAGATATCAGTGATTTTTTATTTTATACCTTTATACTAGCTTGGTGCAAGTCTGATATCCTTTGTGGTACAGCTAAGATGATGGAAGGCTAATATTGTGTTTGGTGTAGCTAACTTGATTCAAATCTGAAATCCTTTGTGGTACAACTAAAGTGATGCAAGTGAGGGGAAGAATATTGTGTGGAAGGATTTATAAGAACTGTAATTAGATAAATTCTGAAACTACTCATTAGATTTTGCTGAGGGACCTGATATGAGATTCAACATAGCTTTTAGCTTTAAGAAGTTATAAGTTCAATCTTTCTTGCTTTCAACTTTTCTACTAGGCTACTGGCAATCACTGCTAATTTCTTTCAAGATTATGTCTTACCTGTCCCTGTCGATGTTTATGTGGGATTAATCTTATACTGTCACATGTTCCTGTAAGGAAGTATGTCCATATTTATGACCTAGTATTCTCTGTTTATAGTTGAATCTTTTATCGATCTCTAGAGACATTCTGCTTCTGTTTGTTAGCTGTGTCAATGTCTGTTGAATTGTTGACTTAATCTGTTGGAGCTGATGTTTGGTCTTGTGTTTTGTCCAGCTCCTTTAAGTGGCCCTTTAGTCATGGCGGATACTGTTGGTAGTCGGAAGAGCTCCACTAAAGCTTTAAAAACAAAGGAGCTGTCAAAAAAGGATAGATACCTGTTTAAGCGCAGAGATGAAGCTGGCAATTTGAGGAAAGTTAAGACCACTCAAGGTCATGCAAGCTCCTCTTCATCTTCTGCATATGAGGATGGAGCATCTGATTCAGCTGCTGCTTTTGTGCTCCAGAAAAGGGATTTACCTGTGTCAGATGATGCTTTGGCTCTTGCTGGAACCACAAAAGATGCTTCAACTGCAGGCAATGAACTCATTTTTTAATCTTATCTTACAGGGAAATGGATGATGTTGTTGCTGTGTCATTTTAACATTTAATATTCTGTTCTACAGGTATTGGTGTGATGGTGCCATCTGCATCACAAGAGTTGGAGTCTAGTGGTGTGGTGGTAACTGATTCAGGCAGTCTGCATGTTAAGGTTTCAGACAGTCACATCAGTAGCCCTACTTCTATTGATGTTGGCCAACTTGCTGTGAGAGATGGCATGATAAAGAAGAAAAAAACTGCTAAACGCCCTGCAGGCGAAATGAGCTCTGAGAAATCTGATCGTCCAGAGAAGAAGATGAAGAAAGTGAGGAAAATAGATGGTCAAAGGAGCGTAGGGAAAGTGAAGAAAGATTTAGTTTTGTCTGCTGGGATGCCTACTGAGATTGCTGCCTTATCCAGAGAGGACTCTCAAGTAAGTCAGAGAAGGAAGGACAATGAAGCAATTAATTCTGTTCCGTCACAAGTGGGGTTTGCGTCATCGGAAGAAGCTAGAGGCAATGAGGGTGATCTTGCACAGTTGTTGGCTGATTTGCGAGGTCTTGCCCTGAACCCTGTTCATGGTATGGAAAGAAACGGGCCTGCAATTGCACAACAGTTTTTCCTGAAGTTTCGCTCCTCTGTTTTTCTGAAGAGCTCCAGTGCTTCAGCTGCTGCCGAATCTGAACTCAGGGAGGGTCGGGACATCAAGTCTACCCCTGCATCTGAATCTACTGAGAAACCTTCAGTTGAGAACAGTAAAGCTGCATCTTCTGTAAAACTGCAGAAGCTCTCTGCCAGACATGAGGATCCCAGGAAAGGGTGGAAACGGATGCCATCTGAGCGTCAGGAGGAAAAAGCTTCAAAGAAGGCCAAGAAAATAACTGAAGCAAAATCCTCTATTTCTGAAAAGCGAGCCCTGCTAAAGAACCCAGAGATGCTGCAGCGAGCTGAGGGAAAAGCTAAGGCAGCTGCCACACAAAGCCCGCAAGTAAAATCCATAAAGTCAGAACAGCGTCAAAAGAAATTGGACCGTCCTAAGGTGGTGGAGCCCCATTATCTCATTATGAAATACCCATCTAGCTCCTCACTCCCTTCCCTGGTAGAGTTGAAGGCAAGATTTGCCCGATTCGGCCCAATGGACACATCACTCAGCCGGGTCTTCTACAAAACAAACACCTGTCGCGTTGCTTTCCTCTATGAAGAACACGCACGTATTGCTCAACGCTATGCTACGGGAAGCAAATCTGTGTTTGCAAACGTGACGCTCATAGTGAAGCCTGTTGCAGCAGCTGAACCTCAGCAGCCAAGCAGCGGCAGGGCTGAAGACTTGCAGAATGAGTCTGCAGCAAACCGGGATTCATCAACAATAGAGTCAAAACCTGTGATCACCGCTGCAACCCCACAGCAGCCAGTGCAGCAGCTGAAATCCTGCTTGAAGAAACCTTCTGGAGGCGATGAGACTGGTGTGCCCAACAATGGCGGAAGCAGTGCAAGAACTGCCCGGGTGAGATTTAACATGGAAGAGGTCAAAGGTAGTACTGATAATAGGGGAGGTCTTGAAGGCCAAAAGATGGAGTCTAGGAATTCGATGTTGTCATCTTATGAAGGTTCTTCATCGTCGTCTATTGCTATGGATGTTAGTAACAATCAAAGGTTCACAGTTTCTTCACATCCATTGCAACCCCCTCTCCTTCCCCATCCTCCCCATTTTATTAGGCCTCCGATAAATCACCTACATGATACAGTTGAATTATCTCCGAGAAATAATTTGCATGATAATCCGAGGGTAGTTCCTCTACAAACTTCTGTTGAAAATCAAGTACCACCACAGGGTCCACAGCCCACCAGAGACATCTCACAGCAGATGATGAACCTCTTGACAAGGTGCCATGATGTGGTGACCAACGTTAAGAGCATGTTAGGCTATGTGCCCTACCATCCTCTATGAGAAAATGAAGGTGCATATATGTTGAAAATTACGTTGGACCACCACATCATCAAGGACCCACCTTTCCATTTGGAGGACTGATACTCACCGGAATATGTTGCATTGTAAAGGACAGACATTTCAGCTCCAGTGAGAGGCCAGTGGGTAGGAAATGGGCTGCCTAGGAAACCCTGTTATTAGAGCAAATAGCTGCAATGGCACAATTGGTTGTACAAAATTGTTGCTTGGGTGGTTACTCGTGAGGGGTTTGGTTTCGGGTAGAAGGGGAGGGGCTCTAGAAGGGAATGGGGTCAAGGGGACTGATATCAGCTGAATTGTACTCGAGAGCTTGAATATTTGTGTAGCTCATGGTACGGGAACATATAATGTGTACCTGATTCGAGGCTGTGGATCATTTTCTCTCTCCCTCTCCCTTTTCATCTCATGGCTGCATGTTTGTGCTTTCGGTCTTTAAAAAATTTTCAGTTGATTGAGTTTAAACTTGCATGTTCCGAAAAATATTTTGGTCCAGTTTACACATACTCTGTGCGTGGATTCGTGTAAGCATAGACCCATAACAAAAATTCTATGCTCTTCAGACCTGTTTCATTAGAAGTAAGAACAAGCAACAGAAGTAGGCATAGACCCATCACAAAATTACTTTACTTTGTAGACCCTTTTCGTAAGTAAGAACTGGCAACAGGTTACTCCGTACTAAATATTGTTAATTTTAAGTATCCATGAGCTTGGGTTCGAACAACTCGAATTACTAGTTAATTAGCATTAGAATTGACCTGACGACTTCCATTAATTGGTTTTAGTCTGAAAAGATTACTTATGCGAAATCATTTAGCATTAATATGTGGTGTTTTGCTTTTAAATTTGATCTACAAAGAATATATTCTTGGGCCAAAATTGCAATAACTTTGAACTACACGTTGTCAAGTGGCAAACCATTCAACATTTGTTTGACAAAGTGCATAAAATACTAACTACTAGAGCGCAACACAACAAATTATATGCAACACAAATAAGAAAACATATGATATATATCCAAAATTTCTTATCTAGTTATTGGAGAATATCTTGATCTGTTACTTTTTATTTCTCCTTTCCATATAAATTAGCAATAAGCTAGGAATTTTAAGTATAAAGAAAGTAGCGCGTTTTTCTTATTCCTTAATATGGTAGGATCATTGCCAAATTATTACGAGTGATTTGTAACACATTATTTTTATACTTAAACGCGTGAAATCTTTTTAAGGGAATCACACTAACAATGGCTCCAATTCGTTTGGAACCCTCTAAAGTAGGCTTTCTACTTAAACTTTGTTATTACAAAAATCTCAACCACTTTCCTAGATGTTTAATTGTTTTTCCATCATAAATTGCCATAATTTCCTCTCATCCAACAATTATCTCCTTTATACAATCATCTTACACTTTCAATTTCTCTCTCCTCAAAGTTTATTTGATTTTCCCCCAATAACTCCTCCTCAAACCCCACATTAGGGGGAAGAAAATCTCATTTAGAAGAAAATTACTAATATTCATAATAACAATGGAGCATCGACCAATTGAGGTGAAGTTACTCAATGCAAAGGATTTGAAGGATGTAAATATATTTTCTAAGATGGATGTCTATGTAATCGGTTCCGTTTCCGGGGACCCACGGTCCATACAACGAACTACGGTTGACAAAGATGGTGGGACCAACCCAAAATGGAACCATGAAATGAAATTTACATTTGATGAATCAGCCGCTCGAATGAACCGGCTTGGTTTGGTTTTTCAAATTATGTCGGACCGGACCCTTGGGGATAAGGAAGTGGGTCGGGTATATGTACCTCTAAAGGAGCTATTTGATACATTTGGGTCCGAAGTTAAAGATGAGAGATCGGATAATGAGATGATCGATCAAGAAAAGAATATGTTATACCAAGTCCAAACCCCCACGGGTAAATTTAAGGGTCAATTAGAGTTTTCGTTTAAGTTTGGTAAAAAATATAGTCAAAGTGTCGAACGAAAATTGGATGATCTAGTCATAGCATATCCCGCGGTGGGTCCAAGTCCTGGGGTGATGGGTACAAGTATTGTACAAGGATATGGAACTACCCCAAACCCTGGACCCACATCAAAATCTGAACCTACTTCTATATATCCAAGCCCAAATATAGGTGGGGCCACTTGTCATGGTGCACCTCAACCTGGATACCCGCCACAAGGTTACGGGCATGGGTATGGATATGGATGCGGCTACGGATATCAACACCAATATACCCCCCAACCGTTCCCTAATCCTCATGTGGGATATGGGTACGGGTTTCCGGGAGGGTATGGTTACGCAGGACAAGCACCGACGGGTTATACGCCAAAACCGAAAAAGAATAAATTCGGGCTAGGGGCTGTGGCGGGTATTGGGGCCGGGTTGTTGGGAGGGTTGTTGGTGGGGGAAATGGTTGATGATGTTGCTGATTCACTAGCCTATGATGACTCATTTGATTATTAGCTGTTTTATTCAAATGGAGATTTTATAAAATAGTGATATGGGGGAAGTTAGTTAATGTTGACTATATTTTTATTTTTTTATAGTTGACATGGCAATTATTAATGATTAAAAACAAAAATATGAGTATCTCCCAACAGTCCAAAGTTAAATATATTTCAGAATATTAAGACAAAATCTAACCATACAAGATACATTTTCACTTGCATGACTAAATTATAGATATATGTTGAAAATGGAAATACATTTTGTATTGACATTAATTTTGGTAATTTTATAGCCTCTAGAAAAACATAGCTATAAATTTCAAGGATTTTATTTTTGATTGATATGAGACATGTATTGTTGCTTTTTTTTTCATTGCAATACGCCAATATTTGCAAATCAGCAATTCAGCAGTACAAAACCAGGAAAAAAACAAAAAAGAAAATAAAATAAAGAAAAATAATACCCCCTCCGTTTCAATATGATAGTCCCATATGGAATCTACCACATAAAATAAGAAAAGAATAATATTTGGAATCTAACATTAAAGTCAAAAACAATTCATAAATAGTTTTGCCTTATTTAAACTTTTTTGTTTTTTTAAGGAAACCGTCAAATATAATTGCATAATTTAAGGGAATAATTTCTTTACTTAGACTCATGTCATCAATGCACAATCATTAATTTAACCAATCATAATTTAATAGGTATAAAATAGGAAATAAAAATTAAGTTAAAAGTAGAATACATTCAATATGGGTAGATCTTTTTGAAACGCCAAAAATAGTATATGGGACTAACAAATTGAAACGGAGGGAGTAATTTTCATAACTATTGATTAACAAGCATTGAAACTACATTCTTCCTGTTGTCCAAAAAAAAAAAAAAAAAAAAAAAAAAGAACATTCTTCTTTTCTCCAAGATATAGAGACCATTTAGGTCATGATGACCTGAATTTCGAAACTAAACCAAAATTTTCGGTTTAAGTTCAAAGTTATGTTCGAGATATACTAAATTAGTACTATGTACAGCCTAAATCAATATTGCCTTAAACAACCGAGTTAACCAAGATACATACGTAGTAAACTACAAACTGCTAATGTAGCGCGATTTCACTCATCCCTGCAGGCTACAACAAGAGGGTCATGCAACATATAATTCCAGTATACAGAACAGAAATAGAACATTAGTTTGATTAGAGGAGAATTTCATGAGAATGCTTAAATATCAAGGTTTAAAATCGTCGGTCCACATCCCATTCTAGCCTTAGTCCTGCAATTTATCTTACATAACACTAAAATCTAATTCATATGTCAAGGGTGCATAGCATATGCATAAAGATACTCGATCATTGACCTGTTTTTTAGCCTAAGAAGAACTTGTGGGGTGAACTTGCAGCAATAATATCTCCTTGATCTTTCTCCCTTCACCAACAATAACTTCAAATTCACACTCGTCTCCCTCATCTATGTCGCTGTTGATCTGAAATTCTCTCCATCCATGACTGAGTGCAACACGGTCAACCCTCTTCCAGAACTTCACTTCCTGAGAATACCCTCTCTGATTCCGTAGAAGAATTGTTCCTGAATGATTCAGTTTGGGGGCTACTATGTTATAAGTGTCGAAGATATTAGCAGGAATGAACTGCACACAGGAATAACTTACAAAGTTACATTTCAGATTTTAACAATTAGTCCCTAACAACTATAGTCTAACAACTACTGATAATCTATGTCAGAAATCAGAAGAGCCTGATCTAATGAAAACTTTCGGACAATAATTCTTCTTAGAAGAGTGTTCAGTCAAAAGAAAAAGAAAGCAAAACAAAAATAGGCCAATGCAAAAGTGTTTCTATTTAACACCCTTATAGCATACTTACATGATAAATTTTGTAGCTGGAAAATGAGAAATACTGATGCAAAAATTTCAGACAGAACAGTAATGTAACATGATCAGAAAAAGGCAGTATAATACATTAATACCAGCAAATAGGAGGAAGAAAAGTTACCAAATCATAAAGGCATCCTTTGAAAACTCTTCTGAATTGTATATTGTTCAATGGAATTGTTCTACTCCGAGGAATCATTGTTACTTCACGCGAATAGACTGACATAACAAATCAGGAAAAGTATTATTAGTACAATGAGGTGTTTGAAAAAATGTTAGGCTTCTTCAAAGGGCTAACCTCAAGACTTTGTCACCGTGCCTCTTGCATCCACACGGGTGGCAGTAGCTTCTTCCTTCTTGCATCCATTGGTACAGAATATTTCAACAGTGAACGTGACATTACCATTGTAGCCAAAGGTCAAGAAATCTCCTCGGGTTAATGAGTTATCTACTACAAAGTTTTTCCAACCCTTTTTGATAATCAGTTTGCACCCAGCCTGTGCTAACTCCACTTTCCAAATTTTTCCTTGTAGGTTTCTCAAGCAGCCAAACTTGATAATCTTCCCATTGAAGTTCTTTACGAAATCACCAGGTATCACCTGCAAGAAATGAAAAGGGTCTATATTACATCTTTCATGTAAAATTATATGTATGCAGTAGAAACAAGCTGCAAATAGAGGATTCAGATGCAATCCTAATGATCCTGTTACTTTATTCTCTAGCTACTAGTATCTGAGTGATATTTAACTCGTCGAAGTGTATCAGGCATGGCAAAGTAGCACAAGAACAGTTCCATATTCAGGCACCAATTAAGATCACAAAATCCTAACAGAATGTACTAAGCCAATTATTTTCTACTCAACTTCTAGCAACAAATAACACCTAGATAATGAAAAAAAGTCAAGTCCTTGAAATCATGGTGATATAAAATTTTCTTATAATAATCTGCTACATTTCATACATAAATCCGGCCTAGAAATAGCAAATAGCTACACCGAAGGCAAAGTTTTAGATGTCTTACGTACTTTCTCTAGAACATAAAGTGACAAAATTCGCCTTATAGAACGTAAAATTTGTCTTATGTGAACCTGATTTTAGATCCACAACACACACAATGAAAATGGACAAATTTGTTCTCAGTCTAATCTACTCATACACAGTGGCGGACTTGGGCTTAGACCTGGTGGGTCAAGTGACTCACCAGGCCCAAAAAAAAATTTTAAGTTATTTTTAAAAAAAAAAAAAAAATTAAAATCAGTTTTCCCCAAAAAAACCAAACACCTTCAAGCCCTAGCCTTCTTCAGTTCTTCTCTTCGCCATTGCCAATTCGCCTCTTCCCTTCAATCCTTCATCAATCATCTGCAACTCCAGTTCTTCACTTCTTCATCAAAGAGTAAGTTTGTAATTTTTATTGTTAATTTCTAATCTTCAATTTAATTCATTCTAATTAGTTAATTTTATTAAACTACAATCGCAATCTTCAATTTAATTCAGCCAATTCGCTATTTCGCTGTGCGGGTTGTGCTGCTGGCTGCTCCACTGCTCGCCGACGCCTAGTCGCCTCAATCAGCGCCTGCCGCCTCCGGCTCTGTCTCTGAAACAATTTAATTAACTTACCCCCCTCTGCTAAAATGCGCCCTTGATCCCAATTTTCTTTTCTTTGAAAGTTGAGATCTTTCAATTGAAGAAGAAAGAGAAGAACAAGAACAAGAAGAAGTGAAGAACCCCAGTAAAGCAATGGTTGCAGAGCCTTGGTTACTGAGAACGGGGAATCAGGTAAGTAGCAATCTGAAAAACTCCCTTCTTTTACACCCAACAAGCACAAGTAATAGTAGTAGTAGAAAGAAGAAAAGTAGCAGTAGTAGTAGTTGCTCTAATATTGGTATCTTGTCATTTGAGGTTGCTAATGTTATGTCAAAATTGGTCCATCTTCATAACTCAGTCTCTGATGAAGAGATCTCGAAACTGAAGCATGAATTGATTAAATCAGAGGGTGTTAAGAAATTGGTTTCTTGTGATGATTCTTACCTTTCAGAGCTTGCTTATTCTGAGAGGGTAGATGATTTGAATAGGGTTGCTGAGGTTGTCTCTAGGTTGGGGAAAAGATGTACTGAGCCAGCCTTGCTTGGTTTTGAGCATGTTTATGGGGATATTATTAGTGGTAGGATTAATGTCAAAGATTTGGGGTTTTTGGTTAAGGATATGGATAGTATGATTAGGAAGATGGAGAGGTATGTGGGTGCTACTGCTAATTTGTATGGTGAATTGGAGGTTTTGAATGAATTGGAGCTTGCTACCAACAAGTTCCATTTGAATCATAATCTTGATAGTCGTAGGGCTTTTGACCAGAAATTGAAATGGCAAAGGCAGGATGTTAAGCATTTGAAGGATATTTCACTTTGGAATCAGACTTATGATAAGGTAACTCCGGCACGGCAGTCCGGCAAGGTATGTTCATCAATTGGATGTATTTTTTAGTACTATTATTTGGTTGTTCGGTAATTTTTTTTTTTTTTTACATACTTGATTATCGATTGTGACCCACCAGTCGGAAATTCCTGGGTCCGCCACTGCTCATACATGAATTTAAATTACTTAAGGATGTAAAACAGCCAATACTAAAAATATTATTGCAAAATGTAGTAATTTAAGTTTTAAAAAATATACCAATTGCTTTGAATTGTGTTCTGGCAGATAGATCTTGAAGAATCCCGGTACATAGCGCAGATCATTCATCTTAAAGGGTCTTCCTCTTTTTCGCCGAACAGCATTTACAATTCTCAGCTCAGAACGAGGTTGTGAATCATCCACCATTGCTTCAATCAAGTAATTAGAATAAGAAGACGTTCCTTGTTCTCGTTTCACCATTTTTTTCTAGTCAATTTTGGAGTAGAGTCAAGTTAAGACAATCTTTAAGGAACGGATAGAGTACCATTTAAAATCTTAATCAAAACCCAAAATTCCTACTCAACCTTTATAATTGGAAATAACATAACAACTCTAATATCACACATTATGATCAACTGATAACTTTAAAACAGAACATTAAACTGATTATTTTTCAGAAAAAAGATTCAAACTTGACAAACCCGGCCATTATTATAAAAATTCGGTTTGATCTCATACCCCAAATAACTCAAACAATTCAACATTCACCATTTCTAATTAAATTCAACAATTCTCAATTTGCAAACAATTACAATATCAGTTTCTAGCTAAAACAAAAAAAAAATCAAAATTGCCAAATTAAACAACTTCCCATGAATTTCAAGCAACACCAACACTAATTTGATGAATTAAAACAACAACTAATTTAATCACAAAATCAACCCAACAAAAAATCATGGAGAATAAGAAATTGAAAACATTAATTCAATACATAAATATGAAAATGAGTTACCTGAATAATAAAATTGAAAGGTGAACTTTACTTGTCCAAGAGAGAGAAACAGAGGAAGAGAGAAATGAAATTTATTGTAAACAAAATTAAAGGGTATAGCTGAAAACAGCAGACAAAAGAGCGCCAAAAGTTAACAGTATGACATAATCTTTGGTTTATGAAATTACAGTTATTTTGTCGTTAGCCTGATAAAAGTACACCAAATCGTACGGAGTATCAAAATATAATAAATGGACTGTTATAAACTTATAAATTTATAATAGATAATTCAGTACATTCTTTTTTTTACTAAGATAGGTCACATCAAATGTTTTAACCAATCTTGTTCATTTCTTACTCCTATTGTCCCAACAATACTATTGCTTCTTTCAACTCATACTTGTATTTTTTTCCTTAAAAAAAATAGTCTTATATTTTTACCATCAAGTATTGACTGAAAGTTAAAAAGTTGGTAGTATGAGTAATTGTCTATTTGATTTGTTGCATTATTTACTCATCAATAACTTTGAAATCTACAACTACGATTACAGTATTTTGTATGTATCATGTTCTCATGAAATTATCGTGAAAAAATTGATTTTAGCATCATTATATTTCGCCAAAATTGCTTATGATATACGGAGTATTTATTTATTTATTTTCATTCTTATTTTTTTGTCCTTCTGATCTCAAAGATTGAGAAATTAATTCTTTGAAAAAAATAAAAATGTGAATATCATTCAACCAAAGAAGCATAATCAACTACGGAAGTAATAGTTTATACTCCTTCCGTCTCTTTTTAATCTTTACACTTTGACCATTTTTTTCTAACAAAAAATGGTTCAAATCTATAAACTAAAAGAGAGGGGGTAATAATTTATTGGAAAAAATAGCTTCAATTAAATCATACATCCTCGAGTACTAACCTAGTATTGAGTAATAATACTTTCAGATTTTCTGGGAATGCTATCAGGAAAAATAATCACTGAACTTCATGTCCTGTGCTGATATTTCTATTCCATCAGAAACTAAAGGGTAAATACAAGTTAATCTTTGAGATTCACAAAATTTGTTTATCACATGGCAATTTTGTAAATAAATCAACAACTTTTTCCATAAAAGTGGGTCCTACATTAATGATGACTAGATAAAGTTGTTCATTTATTTACCAAAATATCATGTGATAAACAAATTTTGTTTATCCCAGAGATTAACTGGGGCTTCCTCGAAACTAAAATGCTGAAGTTTTGGTCCATACGTAAACAAAGCGCGGGTTCAATTCCCGTCGTTCGCCCGACTTTGTGTTAAGCTTCTCAAATATACATTCACTCGTTCTTAGGCCTAGGAATCCTCTTAGATCATACGAGTGATTGGTGTCCTACGGCGAATTTGCAACAGCTCAATCTCTTTGATCTTTCTTCCTTCACCAAGACTAACCTCAAAATCACACTCATCTCCCTCAGTCAATTTGTTCTTCAACTGAAATTCTCTCCACCCAGTAGTGATCTGAACACAGTCATGTTCCCGCCATATCTTTACTGTCTGTGAAATCCCTCTCGGGTACTTCAGAAGTACCATTTCTGGTCTATTTGGTTTGGGCCGTTCTATGTTGTACTCTGTGAAGATACCTGCAGGAATGTTCTGCACATACAAATAAATTATAAGTCCGATTTATACAGTCCTCAGACGAGTGATATTAGATATAACCAAAAGCTGTATCACGGTATGCCTGTATACTTTGCAAATATTCGGACTATATACGAGTATTAGATTTGGTAATAGAAGAGCAATCTTTAAGAAAATAGAGGAAATGATGATACAGGTAAACACAAAAGAACATGAATACATGATTTGCCCAATTCATAACTTTGATGAACCTTCTTAACTAATCATTGGGTTGTATCGTGGGGAGATTGTATAGGGGCTACTTCGGGGGTATTAATGATTAATATGACGCCAATTTTGAGGTAACGACATTTAAAACATGGAGTTTCTTCAGACAAAGGGAATCAAACTCGTTTTACTATTCAACCAAACATCAGTAAGACTAGCTAAAAACTACAGCTAGTACTCACCCCTTCATGAATAACAAGAGGTGTTACTTATAAAAGACATACAAAAGAGCAGGGGATAATTTCTCAAGCTTATATGTCGATAATTTCTCGAATGTGAGACACCAAACATGTGCACACATGTAATACAAGGTTCAAAAGGAGGAAATAAAATAGGTTTGCCTGATCATTTCAGTTTTAGTTATTTAATACTTTTTTTAACTTTGTATTATACAGTTCACAACAGAGATTATCACATAGTCCTTCATCTTCTTGGAACATCTAACTCTGAACATGCCTACATAGATGTTTTCATAAATGCCTACATAAAGGATGACACACATAAATCGAGAAATGTGTCATGTAGACATTTGATACTGTGAAAAAATTGGACAGAAAACTGATGGTAAAGAAACAGAAAAAGACAGTATAAACCATAATCCAAATACATGGGAAAATTTACCAATTCATATATCTTTCCCTTGTTAACACTTGTAAATCGTATCCTCTTTAAATCAAGGTTTCCTTCTGAGACACCTCTTGTCATTACTTTGTGCGAATCTGTCAGAATTTTCTTCAAGGTTATAAGCATGATGAGTTGAATGGGCAAAAAAACTAATAAAGGATAGGTTTCTTTAAAAAATAACTAACCTTGAGACATCTGTTCTACTTTCGCGCTTCTTTCTAAATATGTATTCTCAGAGCAGACATCAGTATGATGGCTATAACTTTCATCAAAGTTTGGCTCCTGCTTCAATGTCACATGAGGCTGGTCATTGGTGCCCATAGGTTCATCCTCCTTCAAACATCCACTGATACTGAATATTTTGACAATGAACACGGAATTCCCTTTGTATGTAAAGATCAAAAACTCTCCTCGCGCTACTGAATTGCCTGTCACAAATTCTTCCCAACCCCTTTTCATAAGTAACTTGCTTCCTGCCTTTTCCAGATCCACATTCCAAACTTCCCCTTTTAAGTTTTTCAAGATTACTTTCTTTGGAGTCTTCTCTCTGAAATTCCTTATAAAATCAGGAGGTATTGCCTGTAAGAAAAACCAATTCAAGTTCCAAATCAGTTCTCACAATTCATTCAATTCTTTTCCTTTTACAGATTAATGTGCATCAAGAGGGAAGCCACAACGCCTACACGGCCTACAATCAACATAAGTGCATAGCTATAAGGAGGGAAGCAACATTATTCTGTTTATATGCTATCACTAAGGGTTAGTTTTTGCATATCCACATAAGCCAATATTGGACAACAAGGGATGCCACAAAGCATTTTGGGACAAAAAAGTTTATGATTTTCCTGCTTACATAGTGATGATTAAAACCATGCTTTTGGCAAAATCATACGACAAAATATTTTCTGGGGCATGTATGTGGATCCTGTTATCTATTCTTTGCAACAGAAACATAGTCTTCAGTACTTTAGACAGTACATTTGAAGTTAGAGTTGAGTTGGGCACCACAGGTGAAGATGGACTCCTTCATAACTAACACTAAGTTTAATTTGAAGCTTAAGGGCTGGTTCACATTTACTAAACTGAGCTGAGCTGAACTGAACTGATTGGAGCTGAATTGAATTGAATTGATTGAATTGAGCTTAAATGAATATTTTATGAGAGAGGGAAATTAGGAGCTGAATTGAACTGAACTGATTGGAACTGAACTGAAATTAAGTAAATGTGAACAAGCCCTAACTATGTGAGTGAGATCTGGCCACATAACGCTTTTCTTATACAAAATTACAATGTAGCCTAGAATGATCCTCCTAGTCACTATTAGAATAAAATTCACAATCATAACTATTGAAAATTCACTAATCTATCTCTTCTAAAACCTTGTAAGCATCAAACGCCTGCAGGAAAGGCAAGTTCTGTATTCAACTCTACACTCCCAAACACTACATTTCAATGCATCAATACCGATTACCGAATATGTTAGAGCTACACTATCTTCGTTTGTAACACATGGGTAATCTACACATTAGGTATAATGTCATATATGTATAATTTACACCGTAGTCCTAATCATGCAAGCATAAATCAGTACAAACTGGTATTGTAAAATGAAGCATGCATGAATTAAATGAGTAAAAATCATTGAAAAGCACTGATTAATAAATACAGTATTACTAGTTACTAGTAAAATATAGCAAAAAAAAAAATGGGAATACAAATAAAATTAGAAAAATTTACCAATTGCTTAGAGTTGTGTTCTGGTAGATAAATTTTGAAAAACTCAGGAGGATATTGTGGAACTGGGTATTTACGGGGCCTTCCTCTTTTTCTTTTAGCCGGCCTCGCCATTATTGATAATTTCTTACACAATTCTGAAATTCAATTATTGATAATCAACTTAATAATTTTGAATACATTTCATAAAATTCAATAATAACACTAAACCCCATTTGCAAGACAATAACGAAAATCGCAAATACCCAAATGAAAATTGAAATTGAAATTAAGGATAAATTAACAAATAATTAAGATAAGACAGTACCTTATTAGAGAATTGTAGTAAAGGAAAAACTTATAAATTTGTAATTAGGGAGTAGTAATTGCGTATAATGAGAGGCAAATGGAAGAAATAAGGAACAAAGGAAGTATTGAATGATACTGACAGATTGAGTGTTTGATAATGGTTTGTTTTGAGTGTTTGACGACCAATGAAAAGTCCAAAACAAAAGTCCGACTCATAGAAGAAAGTGGCTAAGCCCATTGACTTCATCTTTGATTCTAACTTGTAAGAGTTGGTTGCTAAAGACGAATAAGATGTTGCGTTTAAAATTCAATCCGAAAATTTGATGATGTAACCCGAAATTTTTTACTGATAATTTCAATAACTCGATCTGAAAATCCGAAGATCTAATCCGTAAATTCAAATATTTGATTTCAAATCGGATTGAATTGGATTTCATATCCGAAATTGAACAAACCCAATAAAGTAATAAGTAGGGATGACAATGAATCTGGACCCGACCCGGATCCGTGGATCCAGATCCGTTTTTCACGGATCTGAGTCTTCAAATTTTGAACCCGACGGATCCGGGTCGGATCCGGATCCTGTTGACAAAAAGGATCTGGATTTGGGTCTGGGCCCTAGACCCGGATCCAGATCCGTGGACCCGTTTTTTTTATTTTTCCTATTAAAAAAAAAACTAAAATTGTTCGTTTTTTTAATTAAAAATGTTGATAATGTTAGTAATGATAAAGATTAACTCTTTCAAGAGAAGAATTTTAATGCTTATATTATATATATTATCGTTGTTTTTTCACTAGCTCATATTTAACATCGTATTTTTTTGTTGTTTATAATTTTAATTCAGAATATGAGTGTATAAGTTGGTTAATTTGGGGTTGAACTTAATAACCAACAACATAAGTTTGAAATATATTTTTTTGACCCGAACATTACATTTATTGCAAAAAATTAGGCAAAATATATTGGACCCGGATCCGGACCTGGATCCGTTGGACCCGACGAATCCGGATCCGGGTCTTTATTTTCTAGACCCGGCGGATCCGGGTCGGATCTAGATCCTATAAAGAAAATTGGATCTGGATCCGGGTCCATCCGGATCCAGTCCAGATCCGACCCGTTGCCATCCCCAGTAATAAGTACAAAGAATGATAGAAGGATAATGAATAGCTAGAACTTAGAATACAAGGCTTCAAATATTATCCCATAACTCTAAGTTCGGTTTGTAAGGGAAATTTTGATGAATTGACCAACGGTGGAGGGTTGACCTTATAAATTCACTATTTTGACTCTTTGGTAGAAATTCGTTTCAATAAACTTGTTATACTCAACAATTATAATTTCTAAAAGATTTGAATTTTCTATGCGACATTTAGATCAAAATTGATGGTTGTGAAGTTTTTGTTAATGACAACTACTATGTCCTAGAATTACTAAAGTGAAAAACTAACAACATTTGCATTTTACTAAAACTTGAACATGAATGGACGAATATTTACTAAAAATGACCAATTTAGCCCTTGATCAAGGTGAGAAACCTGGGTATGGGCCATGCTAGCTTGGGACGGCACTAGCACGACACGCACTTGGCCCGGCATGATCGAATAGTGGCATGCGGACCCTTGAACACAGTTGCAAAATTTTGGCACGAGACTGCGGGCGACACGACAATTTGGCCTGTGACACGGCTTGCTACTAGCACACCGCACGGCTCGACTTAAATTTATATACTACCTCCGATTTTTTTTTTAATTGTAACTTTGAAATATTTTATATCTCACAAAAAATATCCTAAATTTGCAACTAAAAAAAATAGAAGGTAGTTGTCTATGCTCGGCAGTTCGGCAAGACACAACACACTAGGCATGTGAGTCGTATACTCGTATTGTGGGTTGGGATGTGCCAATTGGTGGCCCGACAAAGCACGGCTCGCCAGCATCCAGGCCTAGCACGACACGATACAACCCACCCCAACCCCAGGCACGATGAGGCGCGGCCACGGCAGCCCGGCAGGTACGATGCTCAGCTCGTATAATTTGACTCATACTTGTAATCAAATTCAATCATCTTGGAAAAATAAAAAGAATACGTGCAATCAACAAAAAGTGGGACCCACTACAATAAAATCTCACCTTCACCATCACCAGTTCACCTTCATCTCCAAGTTTCCTCCAATCTAAATTTCCTTCTCATCTCTCTCCTCCTCCTTCAACCGCCATTGTTATCTTCTTCAAGCAACCTCAAAAAACCCAGAAAAAATAGCTTTGTTCATCCTCCTCTACTACCGCTTCACCCACCACATTCTCTCTCTCCTCTCCTCCTTCATCCTCTCTCTCCCCTTCTTCCCAACCATGCCCTCCTCCCCACCTCCACCCCCACCACCCCCTCAACCACCCTCCTCCTCCTCCTCTTCCTCTTCAACCCCACCTCAACTCCTCTCTCTCTCCTTCAACCAAGACTCCACCTGCTTCTCCGCCGCCACCAACTCCGGCTTCCTCATCTTCAACACCCACCCTTTTCGCCCCATCTTCAACCGCACCTTCTCCCACTCTCTCTCCCTCGTTCACATGCTCTTTCGCTGCAACATCCTCGCCTTAGTCGGTGGTGGGCCCCACCCCAACTTCCCACCTCATAAAGTCATGCTTTGGGACGACCATCGTTGCTGCTGCATCGGGGAGCTTTCCTTTCGATCTGATGTTAAGTCTGTTCGTCTTCGTCGTGATCGGATTGTTGTTGTGCTTTTGCATAAGATTTTTGTGTATAATTTTGCTGATTTGAAGCTCTTGCATCAGATTGAAACGGTGGCTAACCCTAAGGGTTTGTGTGAGGTTTCTTGTTTGTCGAATTCGATTGTTCTTGTTTGTCCTGGGTTGCAGAAGGGTCAGATTCGGGTTGAGCATTATGGGTCTAAGAGGACTAAGTTTGTCATGGCTCATGATTCGAGGATTGCTTCCATGGCTTTGACTCAGGATGGGAGGTTGGTTGCTACTGCTAGTAGTAAGGGTACTTTGGTTAGGGTTTTCAATACTTTGGATGGTTCTTTGTTGCAAGAGGTATAATCCCCTCTTTTTTTTAATTTGTTGTCTTTGATTGTTTCAGCTTGATTGTTGTTTGGGTTTTCGTAGATTTGTCATTTGTTGTCTTGATTGATTGATTCGGGTACTCGTGAAGGGCAATGATGTAGGCGGGATTTGATTCATGTGTAGAATTTAACTAGTTTAGCTGGTTGTCATCTATATTTTGCTGTGATTAGTGATAGTCAATGCCTGGTGCTTGTTTAGAAGTAATATCATTTTTTATATACTGTGCACTGTGAATGTGATGATGCATCATGATTTTCAGTTGAGCTGGTAGGTTTTACGCAGTGGTGTAGCTGAATATTGATTTGTCTTGGTTATATACAAAATGTAGCTGTGCTTCATCTCCAGTATATATATCAAATGCCTGTTATATATATCAAATGCCTATTCGTTTGATGATACCTTGTTAGTTGCCTGTGTGGTGTTGTCGTTCAATTGCACCTAGGTAAACTAGTGCGTGTTTGGTGCAGCATGATTCTTGCCTCTTGGCAAAGGTGTTTTTGGCTGTTGGTTTGTATACAATAGCCCATTGGTATGACTTATAGTGTTTTGCTAATCATCAATAACTGATGTTTGATTACTTTGGTATGTTAGGATATCTGTGCGTTTAAGACATTAGCCATTAGGTTTTTGGTATGGGGATATTGGCCTGTTAAGAATTATATTATTCATTCACTTTTCAGACTGACATAGCTAATAGACTAATAGTGGGTTTCTTAATGAGGATAATTGGAGGTGGAGATGGGAGAGGGCATTGGGGATGATAAGGAATTGATAATTGTAGTAAGTTTGAGTTACTTTCAAGCTTATCTGTCTGCATTTTATCGCTTTATATTTCAAGTGTCACATGCATTTCTGTGAATCGTATTAGAGTTAGCTTTTTAATCTCTTTCCATTTATATTAGCATGTGTGACTATTATCACTGAGCCTTTTTTTGCTTACGTATGCAAAAGGGTGTTTATAGACTCTCTAGAATGATTCATTAGTTCTGAAGTGTTTTGTGGGATCTGTTATATAGGTTAGGAGGGGAACTGATAGAGCAGAGATACAGAGCTTAGCATTCTCTTCTAATGCGCGATGGCTAGCAGCATCAAGTGACAGGGGGACCATTCATGTTTTTAACCTGAAGCTTGAACCAGGATCTCCTGGAAATAGTGGTTTGCAGAGTCCACCTGAGCAACCAAGCTCTCCACGTTCCCCTATATCGTCCATTTCCTTTATGAAAGGTACAATCTTCTCCATGGTGCTAATCTTCTTTTAAATGCTTTTAACCTGAAGCTTGAATCAGGATCTCTGGGTACCATCTTCTCTTCTAATCCATGTTCCGCTATATGGTGTTGGGACTTGAGGGCCACTAAGTTGAATATGTTGTTGGCTTGTTACATTGCATGAGTTATCAAGGGATGTATAAAAATATGATCTTACATATTGTTTCCTGAGTGTTTTTGGTTTATCTGTTTTTGCAGGTGTATTGCCTAAATATTTTAGTTCAGAGTGGTCGATGGCCCAGTTTCACTTGCAAGAAGGCACTCAGTACATTGTTTCCTTTGGCCAACAAGAGAACACAGTAGTGATAGTGGGAATGGATGGAAGGTAAATTATTCAATTATTTTTTCTTCATCATCTTTTTATTCTGAATACTTTACTTCACTGCAGAACCTGGCAAGTATGGTTCTGTTTCCCTGTAAAATAACAAGAGAGGTCATTTTGTTCTCCTTTTGTGACATATTACTATCCTGATGTTGTATTTCATAACTTGGCTCCACATCAAGAAGTTAGAACTTTCTGGTAGTCTAATGGTTTAAGTTGTTTTAAAAAGAAAATTCCTTTATATTCTATTCGTAATAGTTAGATATAGAGTATATATTATTGCTTTGACTATTTGAAGCTCCACAAACCATTTTTATTAAGATTTTACTAAATCCCCGCTTGTTCAATGTTGGTAATAGATTTCCTAAATGATAAGAGAAGACAGACACACATCAAAAGTCCAACACTGTGAATATGAGCATACTTCATCTTTCAAGGGGTTGTATGTAGATAAGGATTTTTTCATTTTGGTTATTTGAACGAGGGAGTTAATGTAAAGCAGCCTTTTTGCCCCTTATCTGT